ATCTTCATCTTGCTTGGATCCACAATTAACACCCTTGGTACCAAGAGTCAGGAAATAACACACATTGTTGTTGTTGTTGTTGTTGTTGTTGTTGTTGTTATTATGTGCTGTTGAGTCACTTGTGACTCATAGCGACCCTATGTACAACAGCCCTAAACCCTGCTCTATCCTGTGCCAATCTCACTGCCTCCAACACACCCATCCTGATTACCCCAGTTACTAAATCAGTCCACCTCATAGAGGGTCTTCCCCTCTTGTGCCGTCCCTCCACCTTCCCAAGCATGATGTCCCTCTCCAAGGACCTCTCCCTCCTTACAACATGTCCAAAGTATGTCAGACAAAGCCCCAGAATCCTTGCCTCCAAGGAGCAACCTGGTTTAACTCTCTCCAGGATGAATCTGTTTGTTTTCTTGGCAGTCCATGGTACATTAAATACTCTTCTCCAGCACCACAGCCCAAAGACATCAATTCTCCTTCTATCCTCCCTAGTGATTGTCCAACTCTCTGATGCATAACAAGTGATTGCAAAGACCATAGCCTGTATCAGACACACCTTAGTCTCCACAGTGACACCATTGCTCTTCAGTACACTGGAGAGGTCCCTAACAGCAGACTTTCCATTGCAATACATTTTTTTATTTCCTGGCTACTGGTGCCAAGAGTGTTGACCATGGGGCCAAGCAGACTAAAGTTGTTAACAATCTCAATCTCTTCACCATCCATCCTGATGCTGCCAGTTGGTCCAGTGGTGAGAATCTTTGTCTTCTTGACATTGAACCTCAATCCATACTGAAGGCTGCAGTCCCTGACCCTCCACAGCAAGTGCATGAGGTCCTCCTCAGTTTGAGCAAGAAGGGTTGTGTCATCTGCATAATGCAGATTGTTAATAGATCTTCCACCAATCCTGATGCCACACTTCTCCTCATAGAGCCCAGCCTCTCGGATAATCTGTTCTGCATACAGGTTGAAAACGTATGGAGATAGGACATATCCCTGGCGTACACCCTTCCCCAATTTTGAACCATGTAGTGTTTCCTTCCTCTGTTCTGACGACTGCCTCTTGGTCCAAGTATGGGTTTTGCATTAGCACAATCAAGTGTTCTGGGATTCCCATTCTTCTCAGAGTCAGCCACAGTTTGTTATGATCCACACAGTCAAATGCCTTTGCATAATCAATGAAACACAGATAGACATTCTTCTGATATTCTCTGCTCTCAGCTAAGAGCCATCTAACATCAGCTACAATATCCCTAGTACCACGACCCCTTCTAAACCCAGCCTGGACTTCTGGCAGCTCTCTGTTGATGTGCTGTTCCAATCGTTTTTGGATAATCTTGAGTAGAATCTTGCTTGTGTGTGAAATCAATATCGTTCTATAGTTTCCACACTCAGTTGGGTCACCCTTCTTTGGAATGGGAACAAATATAGATCTCTTCCAGTCAGTTGGCCAAGTGGTTGTTCTCCAGGTTTCTTGACACAACTTGGTGAGCACATCCAGGGCAGCATCTGTGAGATGAAATATGTCAATTGGTATACCTTCTATTCCTGGGACCTTATTTTTTGCTATTTCCTTCAAAGCAGCTTGAACTTCTTCCTTCATCACCATAGGCTCTTGCTCATATGTGATTTCATTAAATTCTTCTGTGTCTGCCAATTCCTTTTGATACAGTGACTCAGTATATTCTTTCCATTTTCTTTTAATACTTCCTGGATCATTTCATATTCTGCCTAAAGCATTCGTGATTATAGCAACTCGAGGTTTGAATGTATTCTTCAGTTCCTTGAGCTTAAAACATGCTGAGCGAGTTTGGCCCTTTTGATTTTCCGACTCCCGCTCCTTGCACATTTCATTGTAGTATTTTGCTTTGTCATCCCATGCTGCCCTTTGGAATCTTCTGTTCAGCTCTTTAGTATCTTGAATTCTTCCTTGTGCTTTGGTTTCTCTGTGCTCCAGTGCAATATTCAGAGTTTCATCTGACATCCATTTCTCTTCTGTCTTTGTAATGACCGTCTGCACTCTTCCTGGATGATACATTTGACACTGGGAAAATGTGCAGTTTGAGACCTTTTAAAATTATTGAGGAGGGGTGGTGTCAGTTTCAGGACTGAGATGCATCTTATTTAGGCCATGGTCTTTTCAATTACTAGCTGCATCTGAGAACTGGACAATGAATAAGGATGACAGGAAGAGAATTGATGCCTTTAAGCTGTGGTGTTGGAGAAGAGCACTGACTATTCCACGGACAGCCTAGAGAATGAACAAATATGTCTTGGAGAAGGTGCAGCCAGAGTGCTTTTTGGAGGCAAGAATGATGAGGCTTCACCTCACATACTTTGGACATGTTGCTGGGAGATACTATTCCTTGTCGAGGGATATGATGTTGGGAAGGGTGGAGGGTCAGCGAAGGAGAGGAAGACCCTCGTCTAGGTGAATCGAGACCATGGCTCCTGCAATGGACTCTTGTGTCAGGAAGTGTGAGGATGGTGCAGACTAGAACAGAGTTCATATCTTTTCTTCATAGGGTCGTTATGAGTCATGCTCAGCTCGACAGCCCCTAACAACAACTACAGTTCCACAAGCCATGTGACAATGTTTCATGATTATACGATGCTTTTGCATACCTGTTTAAGAGCCTTTTGAGGGTCTATATGTTGGTCAATTCCATTTAATCTTTCTTATTCTTTTTGTTAGGTGCTATCGAGTCTTGTATGACTCAGAGCAACCCTATGACCAACAGGTCTGAACCCTGGCCTGGCCTGTGCCACCGTCATCGTGTCTGGCACAGTTGTTCCCAATGCTGCAGCCACTGTGTCAGGCCATCTCATTGAGAGTCTTCCTCTCTTTTGTTCTTTTTTAAAATTGTCAGTCTTAAGAGACATAAGTACATTTTCTGAACTATTATTTAAGTAGTATGTCAAGTTTCTATTGATAAACATACAAACGTAGTGTTTTTTAAAAACCAAACCCAAGCAAAGAACTGCACTGTCATCTCCTGTGGTTTTGCACATTGGCTGTGCTCAACTGGCAGCGATTCTGTTTCTCCTGATGTCGATTGGGCTGTGGTGGAATGCCCAGAAGTCGGGGGTGGCTCACCCACATAGCTGCCACGGGCATTGGCCATCACTGGGATTATTACCCACAGCATCTTGCTCGTCCTTTCTCTGACCTCTTCACAGGGATGTGTGACAACCACGTTCCATGAGGCAGTGAGCAAGAAAGTCTCTTAGGACCTCATTGCATTGAAGTCTTTAGGCAGTGGGTAGCGGTGTAAGTGTAGTGTACTTGTTCAGAAACAGTGTCTCTGATAAGAGCTGGACAATAAATAAGGATGACAGAAGAATTGATGCCTTTAAATTGTAGTGTTGGGGAAGAGTACTGAATATCCCATGGACTGCCAAAAGAACAAACAGATATGTCTTAGATAAAGTTTAGCCAGAGTGCTTCTTGGAGGCAAAGGTGATGAAGCTTTGTCTCAGGTACTTTGGGCATGTTGCTAGGAGAGGTTAATTTGTAGAGAGGGCCATCATGCATGGTTGGAAAGGTGGAGGGTAGGCAAAGAGAGGAAGGATGGACTAAAACAGTGATGGCTGCAGTGGGCTCAAGTGTGTCAGAAATAGTGAGGACGGCACAGGATAGGACAGGGTTCGAATCTGGTTTTCATAGGGTCACGATGAGTTATAGACAACAGCAGGTAACAACAATAACAGTGGCAAGATGCCTAAGAAAAGCACTTGCCTAAAGCAGTCAAAATGATATTTGTTGTTAGGTTCTGTTGACTCAGCCCCAGACTGTAGCAATCCTATTAAAACCTCTCCTGACTGCTAGTTCGTCCTATGAAGTAAGACATCGTCTTACTTGGATCCACAGTGAACATCCTTGATACCAGCAGTCACGAGATCAGGAGATGTATTAGGAAAGTCTGTAGTCAAGGACCTCTCCAAGTTACTGGGCAGCAATAATATCAGTTTGAAGACTAAGACATGCCCAACTCATGCTGTGATCTTTCCCACCATTTGCTATGCAAGTGAGAGCTGAACATTAAGTAAGGATGACAGAAGAATTGATGCTTTTGAGCTGCGGTGTTGGAGAAGAGTACTGAACATCCATGGATGGCCAAAAGAACAAGCAGATGTGTATTGGAGAAGGTGCAGCCAGAGTGTTTCTTGGGAGGCAAAGATCACAAAACTTCATCTCATATGCGTTATAGACAATAAGACTGGCACAGGATAGAGCAGGATTTAGGGCTGTTGTACACAGGGTGACTATGAGTTGCAGGTGACTCAACAGCATACGTAACATTCCTTGGAGAGGGACTTGGGAAGTAGCAGGTCAGTGAAGGAGGGGAAGACCCTCACTGAGAGTAGACGAGGGTATGTCAGAAATGAAGAGGATGGCACAGGATAGGACAGGGTTCAGCTCTGTTATTCATAGGATCGCTAAGAGTCAAACTTGACTCAACAGCCCCTCAGAACAGTAAGAACATGTCGCTCTCACAATCTCTGCCGTGATTAGCCCGACTGTTGCAGTCATTCTGTCAGTCTATCTTATTGAGGGCCTTCCTGTCTTTGGCTAACCTTCTACTATTCAAGCATCATGTCCCCTTCCAAGAGCTGGCCACCCCTGACCGCATGCGCAGAGTATGTGAGATAGTGGACTCCAGTGACTTCCCACTGTTGTTCCGTCATTTCCAACTCATAGCTCCCCGAAGGGACAGAGCAGAACTGTCCTGCAGAGTTTCAGAGGGGACAGATCTTCCCAGGAGCACACTTTCTCCTGTGAAGCCTCGAATGGGCCACTAGTTAGAAGCTGAGAACTTAACCATTTTAACCCACCAGGGCTCCTTGTCAGAGTCTAGAACCGGTTGAAATGGCATTGGTGAGCTGGAGGTTGATAGTCTTTCAGGGACCCGGGACCTTAGGATCCAGTTGGTCCTCTGTAAACTGGAGAAGTTGGTCCTGCAGATGCTGGAGGCGCCTGACCCCTGTCCCTCTGTGCCTAGGTACTCGTTCCAGGATGAGGAGGACATGTTCATGGTGGTGGACCTGCTACTGGGCGGCGATCTGCGCTACCACCTGCAGCAGAACGTCCACTTCACGGAGGGCGCTGTCAAACTTTACATCTGCGAGCTGGCCCTGGCGCTGGAGTACCTGCAGAGATACCACATCATCCACAGGTAACCGGCTGGCGGGGGAACGCCCAGGCTGCCAGTGTCCAGGGCTGAGGGGTGTCTAGACCTCCTGGCCCGGCGGGAGAAGCATCCTACCACTGACGTTCTCTGCAGGTGGCACTGCATGAGACTAGTACAAAAGGACAACAATGTTTATAACTGCCTTTAAGTTCTCTGGTGATTAGTTTGTACTGTGTGAGACTGTTAACTAGAAGGTTAGCAGTTCGAATCCACTAGCTTTTCTGAGAGAGGAAAATGGACAGTCTGGTGAAAATTACAGCATCAGAAATCTGGTGAAGGGTAGCTATGAATAATGCAGATTTGTTTAAGAAGCCCTGATGGCAGAGTGGGTAAGACTCAACTGCTAACCAACAGATCGTTGGTTTGAATCCACGAGCCCCTCTTTAAATTAAAAAGAAAGATGATGCCATCTGCTTCCATGATGATGACAGCCTTGGAAGCACCATGAGAAGTTCTGCTCTGCCCCCCAGGGTCACCATGGGTGGAATCAGCTCGATGCCAGTGGATTTTGGACAGATGGCTAAAGCACTCTGTTGTCTGCTTCTGAGATGGACCATTCACTGCCTGCCCCCTTGACACTCTACAGTGGAGAGACATGAAGAGTGGTTAGCATTCTCTTCTATCTTAGAGAGACTGCAACCTTCTATCCCTGTGTTAGCCTAGAAGTATCCCAGTTTGCTAATGAGTTCAAAGTGGGTAATACCAGGCTTATTGTTCTGATAGAGACTGGTGGAATGCATGAGAGAATGGCTTTTTATTACCATTTAAGCTTGAACTTGAACTCATTCCTATAGACTCAAGCAAACAGTAAGAGGCAGAGCTTTCAGGTCAGTACCACCAGATAGAGAGGTGTGTGCACCTCAGAGCAGTCAACCGCCGGAGAGCAAAAGGTCAGCATTTGCTCAGTGGTGTGGAGAATTCTCTGTTGTTAATCAAGAAGTCCATGGTGTTACTTCACTCCGTGGGAGGAAGACGAGGGAGACTCCTGTAAATATCAGAAAGAGACCAGTGGAGGGTCTGCAGGAGTCTTGACTGACTCAATGACAGGTGGTCTGGCTGTTGATGTTTTAAAGCCCAGAAGGCAGAAAGGGGTGGGAAAGAAGGACAAATGAAAACAGGAAACACAAAGAGGAAGTTGGGAAAATGCTGTTAGATTTCCGAGACTGTAACCAATGCATATGGATTGTTGAGTGGAAAACAGATTTGCCCATGAACTTTCACTCAAATCATAACAAAAAGTTAAAGAGTGCAAAAGTGGATGGGATCTCTCTCTCTTCCAGTCCCAACTTTGAAAGGAATGCTGTGCTTTTGTAAAGGCATTCTTCCTCCTGTTCAGACTCTTGGCTTCAGCTAGAAGGTCCGAGTTTCTGCTGCTCCCTCATAACCTTCCTCCCCCATTGCCTGTGTCCAGCAGGGTCCTGTCTAAGGCAGGGGAGCAAGGTCAGCCTGTCTGCAGAGGCAGAGACACAGCGTGAGAGTTCGGGCATGAGGGGTCGCTGATGAAGGAAGCTTCCTCGCTGACCGTGGCCCAGATGGACTAGCGCCAGTGACTCTGACTTCCTTCCCACAGCCTTGCTCTGTGACGATCTGGTCTTCTCCTATATGGCTTTGGAAGACTTGGGAAACCTAAGAGCTTGAATGTCTAGGTCGAGATGACAGATTAACCACACACACATACATGCCACGTGACCAGTGCTGCCAAGTTGATTCCAACTCATGGTGGGGCAGAGGTGACCTGCCTTCCAGGGTTTCCAGTGCTGTGGAGCTTTCCAGAAGCATACTGCCTTATCTTTCTATCGCATAGAGGAATTGTTGGATTCAAATCCTTGATCTTTGAATTAGTGGTCCAATACTTAATCCACCATGCACACACCTAGATTTGCCCACATTGAAGACTGACAAAATGTCAGTTGTTGTTGTTGTTGTTGTTGTTGTTGTCGTCGTCTCCTGGCAAGGTGGACCTGACTCTTAGCTGACCCTGCAGCGAGTGTTCACAGGCAGAAGATTGCATGGCAGGAGCAACTGGTGGATTCGAACTATGTACCTTAAAGGGCAGTTGAAGAGGGATACGTTTGTCAGGATGGGGACAATGGAGAGAAGATGCTATAGAATCGTTGGGGGAATCCAGAGAAACTAAGGAAAGAAGATGGCAAATGATTTAAGACATTGAATTGTAAGTAAACCAGTAAACACTAAAAATCCCCAAACTTACTGCTGTGAAGGTGGCTCGGGCTCAGAGCAGCCCTGCAGGACGAACAGAACCGCCCCAAATGGTTTGCAAAATTATGATCTTTACAGAGATTCTGCTGCCTCGTCGTTCACTCACAGAGCAGCCGGCGAGGTGGATGCATCCTTTATTGTTAGCATCCTAGTGCTTTAATGACTGCGTCACCAATGTTCTTTTTTTTTATTATTAATTTAGTTTGTTTATTTTTCATTTCAGTGAACATCTACAGAGATTTTGGAATTCCATTCATTCATTGTTGCACCCTTCTCCCCACACAAACCCCTCCCACCCCCCCCCCCCTTTGCTCCTCTCCCCAGGTGGCCCAGGAATGGGCAGCGCTTGTCATCTGTACAAGTGGGCGAAGGAAGTAGCTAGAATTAGAGAGTGGCTCAAAAGCGGCTTTTTATTTTTTTTAATTCTTTATGTACAATGATTTATTCATTGCAAACAACTTCTTTTCGGGTCCTTTTCTTTGGTTTGCGTGCAAGGTTCATATGCGTTGATTTCATACTGTTCTTCTTTCACGTTGTGTTTCATACAATTATCCCTGTGTATCAAGCTGCTCTGAAAGAAGTGGCAATAAACAAGACCTCAGGAATCGATGGTATATGAATCAACATATTTCAACAAGCAGACACTGCCCTGGACGTGCTCACCAAGTCGTGCCAAGAAGTCTGAAGGACAGCCACTTGGCCAACTGACTAGAAAAGATCTGTATTTGTTCCCATTCCAAAGAAAGCTGACCTGACAGAGTGCAGAAATTATCAAACAGTATCACTGATATCACACACAAGCAAGATTCTGCTGAAGATTATCCAAAAACGACTGAAACAGCACATTAGCAGAGACCTGCCAGAAGTGTAGGCTGGATTTAGAAGGAGTTGTGGTACTAGGGATATTGTAGCTAATGTTAGATGGATCTTAGCTGAAAGCAGAGAATACCAGATGAATGTCTATCTGTGTTTCTTTGACTATGCAAAGGCGTTTGACTGCGTGGATCCAGAGTACTGAAGAGCAACGATGTCAGTCTGCAGACTAAGGTGGGCCTGACTCAGGGCATAGTCTTTGCAGTTACTTGCTATGTGTCAGAAAGCTGGACAATGACTAGGGATGATATAAAGAGAATTGATGCCTTTGAACTGTGGTGCTGGAGAGAGTATTGAATATACCATGGACTGCTAGGAGAACAGACAGGTTGATCTTAGAGTGAGACCAGGCTGCTCCTTGGAGGCAAGGATTCTTAAGCTTCATCTGACATACTTTGGCCATGTGGCAAGACAGTATCAGTCCTTGGAGAGGGACATCATGCTTGGGAGGGTGGAGGGACAGTGCATGAGAGGAAGACCCTGGATGAGATGGATCGATTCAATGACTGGGGTAATGGAGGAGGTATATTAGAGACAATAAGATTGACACAGAATAGAGCAGGATTTAGGGCTGTTGTTCCCAGGGACACTATGAGTCTCAGGTGACTCAACAGCACATAACAACAACAATTATGCTTTATAAAATTAGTCACCACTGAGGGGAGCTCTGGTGGCCTAGTGGCAAGAAGCTGTACTGCAATCCCAAAGGTACATGGTTTGAATCCACCAGATGCTCTGCCGGAGAAGGAGGGACAATTTCCTCCTGTACCAGTCAGATCTGATTTGATGGTACACGCACAAAAAATAATAATAAAATAAAATTTTTTAAAAATTAATCACCACTGGACCTTTCCCATCCTTACCCTGTCTTTTCATCCAGATCCTTTCCACTTGCTCGCCCTCCCCACTCCACCCACCACGTTGAACATCCCTCACCCCTGCACTCCCACCCTTTCCTTGCCTTGAATCTCCAAACATTTTTATGTTATCCTTCTGTATTTACAGTGATGGCTTTATGCAGTATTTGTCCTTATGAGACTGAGTTAGTTCCCTTAGCATAATGCTCTGCAGCCTCTCCCAAGTTATGCAGTATTTTTTTAAATTGCTGCTTCTGAGTGCTGCATCGTTCCATTGTATGAAATTGTACCACCGTTTCCCAGTCCATTCCGTTGCGGTTGGATATTTGGGCTGTTTCTATGACCTTGTGATGCTTAACATTGATCCTCTGAATGTTGGTGTACAGATCTCCGTTTGTATCTCAGTTTTAAGGAAGGAGAACCCAGATTCCTTGACTTCTGTAGAACTAGAAGACTCACCTTCCTCTCCCAAGGAAACAACTATTGTCTAAAGATGATAAATAAAACCATCTGGACTGGATGATATTAGTATAATTGTGTAATTGTTACTGTTAGATGTCTTCCAGTCGGGCAAGACTTACCATGACCCTTTGAACAGCACATCTGGACCCTGTCCTGTTCTGTGCCTGACGCATTATAGCCCATTGCGGCAGTCACCGTGTCGACCCCCTGGTTGAGGATCTTTCTCTTCTTTCCCAACCTTTCCAAGAATCATGTCCCTCTCCAAGGAATAACCCCTCCTAGCAACATGCCCAAAATATGTGAGACAAAACCTCGTCATCTTTGCCTCCAAAGAGCACTCCAGCTGCACCCTCTCCAAGATATATTCGTTCTCTTGGCCGTCCATGGGACGCTCTTCTCCCACACCACAGCTCAAAGGCACCAATCTGTCTTCCTTCATCCTTATTCCTTGTCCAGCTCTCAGATGCATAGCAAGTGATCAGAAAGACCATGGCCTGGATCAGACACACCTTAGTCCTAAGTACACCTGGTACACCTGCTGTACTGAAAGCAGCAAGGTTAACCACTTGCATA